ATACAAACATACACACACAAACACATATATACATATGTAGATAGTACACCGATTACAAAACACACCTTGATTTTTACAATGTGAACACATCTATGTAACTAGCCCCAATATTAAAAAAACATGTATTACCACCACCCACTAAGTCTTCTTGACCCCCACCAATCCCCATTTGCCCCCACAAAGACAACTCAATCCTGAGTCTTAACATCATGAGTTGTTTTTTTTCTGTTTTTGAATTTTATATAAATAGAAGCACACTGTATAAGCTCCTCTGTGTCTAGCTTCTTTTGCTCAACATTATGTTTGTGCGATGGACCATATGGTTGCATCTATGTAGCAATCATTCATTTCTTATTGATACAGAGTTTCTCAAGCCCAGCACTGTTAGCAATTTAGGCAGGATAATTCTTTGTCCTGTGCACCATGAGATGTAGAGCAACATCCCCAGGCTCTACCTACTAAATACCAGTGGCAATCTTCTCCCCTCCCCAACAAGTTCTGGTAACCAAAAAATATCTTCAGACATTGCCGAATGTCTCCTGGGAAGCAACATCATCTCCAGTTAGAACTGCTGTTGAATAGTATTCCATTGTATGAGCAAATCAAAGTTGATTTACCTGTTCTACTGTTGACGGACATTTAGGTTGTTTCAATTTGGGGCCATGAAGAGAAACAATATTTTCAAAAGTTTTAAAGGAAAAGAACATCACACCCAGAATTGTAATCTATATAAAAAGTCTCAGTTTTATCATTCAAAGGTCTTCTTTGAAAAATACTTTTGTAGGTAGTATCCCAGCAAGAAGAGAAGCAAACACATAGGAATGTTACAAGCCATAAGTGAAATAAAGTTTAGTAAGTAGCAGAGCAAAATACCTAAAACAGGACAAAGAAGTTCCACTCTGGGAAGAACGGAGGAGGTTGAAACAGGCCAACATTGCCACTAACACAACTATTGAAAACTAGATAAATTACAAAAAATCGCATTTCAAAAGTGTCAAAGGGCTATGGCAGTAATGATGACTAGATGGACTAAAAATCCCAGAGAAGAGAGAATAATTTAGAGGAGAGCTGTCGGATGACAGCTGATACATTCCCCTAGGGACATGTGCCAAGTCTGGGCATGGGTTAAGGACTAGGACTTAGCCCAGGCAGACAGCCACTACTAGGGGAAAGGGAAACCATCAAAGCTTTCTGCCCTGGCTTAGAGCTGGAGTGACAAAACCAGAAACAAGGAGCATCAGACACATTTGATTTTCCTGACTACACAGTACTGATTCCAAAGGCTAGGAGTGCAAGAGGCTAAATGAGCTGGGCTAAATTAAGATTTTGAAAGTCAAATAAAATCTGATGCATATGCTAGGCCATAAAGCATGTCTTAATAAATGTAACAGGATTGAAATCATACCAACTACATTTTCCAATCACAATAGAATTAAATTAGAGATCAGCATCAGAAAGAAATCTGACAATTCTTCAAATACCTAGAAATTAAAAGTTTATGTCTCTAAATAAGCCAAGGGTCAAAGAAGAAATCACAAGAGAAATTAGAAAATATCTTGAACTGAATGAAAACGAAAACATAACATGTCAAAATTTATGGGATGTAGCTAAAGCAATGCTTAGAGGGAAATGCATACCTTTAAATGCCTATATCAGAAAAGAAATCAATAACCTAAGCTTCCATCTCAATAAACTTTAAATACCTGTATCAGAAAAGAAATCAATAGCCTGAGCTTCCATCTCAATAAACTAAAAAGAGACCAACAAGACAATAGAAAAATGTACGAAGGAGTGTAAAAGAACTCTTTGCAAAAAAGGATAACCAAATATCCAATAAACATATGAAAAGGTACTCAGCTTTGCTAATAATTAGGAAAATGCTCACAAAACCACAACATGATACAAACGCTTCAGAACCAGAATGGCTAAAATAAAAAAGATGGAAAAATATCATGTGTGGGTGAGAATGTGGAGCAACCAAAACTCTGATACCTTGGATTATGGGGGTGTAAGTTGGCACACCAGCTTTGGAGATCTGAAGCTGAAATATGCCTACCTGATGAGTCAGCAATTCCACCCCGAGGGATATACACTCAGTAGGAATGCCTGCGGTGCTCACCAAAAGCCAGGCACTAGGATGTGCATGGTAGATCTATCCATAATAGCAAAAAACAAAACAATAAACTAGAAAATACCAAAATGCTCATCAACAGTAAAATCAATAAATAATTGATGTAGTGTGGCATACTGTGAAATACTATGCTAGATACTACACAACTATGAACAAACTACAGACATCCATATACATCCTACTAAAAAAAAATGATCAGCCAAAAGAACACAGATACAAAAAAATACATACTGCATGATTTCTTGACTATAAAGTACCAAAGCTGACAAGACATAGTTATTCTTTTGGAAGTCAGAACTGTAGTTTCTCTTAGTAAGGGTGAGGTAGTGACTGAAAAAAAGGCACAAGGGAAGTTTCTTGAAAGTTTGTAATGTTCTGGTTTTTTATTGTGCTAGTTACACTGGTGTGTTTATTTTCTGAAAATTCATTGAGCAGTGCCCTATTACGGGTTTGCATTTCTATATGTATATAATACTTCAATTAAATTTTTCAGAAATTATCCAATAAGTGACTGAGGCAGAATTCAGCCAGACAGACTTCGGAAAATGAACCCTAAATCTTAAATTTAGGATCAGGGTTATGCCATTCTCTAGAATAATTGCAAAAAGTAAATATATCCTTGTGTTAGCCAGGTTTCTCCAGAGAAACAGGACAATAGAAAAAGAACACACACACACACAGATATTTCAGAAAGAAAATTAACTCCTGCAACTGTGGGGGCTGGCAAGTCCAAACTCCACAAGGAAGATCAGTTGGCAGGTGACTCAGGGAGAAGCTGATGTTGCAACTCAAGTCTGAAGGCAGTGTGGAGTCAGAATTTCCTCTTCCTCAGAGGACCTCTGTCTTTTTCTCTGAAGGCCTGCAACTGATTGGATGAGGCCCACCCATAATCAGCAATATAATCTGCTTTATTCAAAGCCTACTGATTTAAATCTCATCTTTTAAAAAACGCCTTCACAGAAACATTTAGACTGGCTTTTGATCAAATATCTGGGTACTGTAGTCTGGCAAGTTGATGTATAACATTACTGTAACAATTACTAACAATTCAAAACTTAATGTTAAGGGAGGGCGAGGGAAGAGTAGGGACAAAAGAGATAAAAAATAAGGGAAGTAAAAGCATGCTAACATGTTTGTCTTGTTTAGGGGACAGATAGTGATATTTATAAGCTTAAGAAATTATTAGGGAAGATACCTAAAAATATTTGTCTTAATTAAAAATAGAATGCATGTATTTCAAACCAAAAAAAAAAGTTTGATTTAATGGAGAGTCAAAAAGGAAAAAGGGAGTAAAAAATAAAGTTCAGGAAACATAAAATAAGATAGAAATAAATACATACATAATATCAATTTTAGTTTCAATGAAAGTAAACTCACTGATCAAAAAGACAGTAATAATATTAAACAGTATTTTTTTAAAAGCTAGCAAATAGGTTTCCTATAAGTGACTAGTAGAATTTATGTCAACAATAAATAAGTAAATTTGAAAAATATATTAATAAATAACAATAAATACATTTTGAAAAAGAAGAGCAAAGAAAAGGTGTCCGCTTTACTAGATATTAAGGCATATTTAAGCCACAATAAATCTAGTGTGTTGGTATTAAGGAACAAAAAAATCAATAGAACAGAACTGAGAGCTCAGAAATAGACCCATGTTAAATAATAATAAGTGGAAATAGACAGATTTTCTTGGAGATTATGTTGAGAAAAGCATTTTACCATATGATGAAAAATAAGGTTGGATCTCTACATTAGACCATATTCAATGGTGAACTGCAGAAAAATTAAAGGCATAAATATAAAAGGTTAAATTATGGAGTTAATAGAAAATAATATCTGTGTGACCTGTGAGGAAGGACCTGTTAAAATTCTAAAAGCAGACATCACACAGGGAAAAATATTACATTTGACTATGCCAAAATTAGAGATTTTATAGACAAAATACACAGATGAAGAATAGGAAAAGATATTTGCAAGGGATAATATCCAGAAAGACATTGAGTTAATGAGAGATTAATATCTACAACACTCAAAAACTCCTTCAAAATCAATAAGAACAGGAAACCCAATAGAAAAATGAGCAATATATATATATAAATTTACAGAAGAGGAAACTCAAGTAGCTAACAAGGGAGAAAAGAACAAAAAAAAAGCCTGAACTTACTAGTAAACAATGAAATGCAAACTATCATTAGATATCCCCATCAAGTTAGCAAAAATTAGAAAGAAAAAAAAAGCAAATACCAAATGTTGCCAAGGATATGGGAAAACACCAACCAAACCTTTTGCACAGCTAACAGGAGACAAAACCAGATCAGCTGAACTGAAAAGCAATCTGACAGAATTTACAGACTTCATTAATTCTGAATTACATGTTTTTTTCTGTGCCATGAACTGAGGGGGTGATGTCTTGCTGATAACCCTATGCCCATTCATCTGATTTCCAATGGAGCTTAAATTCATCATGACTAATTGAATTTATCACCCTGCCCTACCCATGCATTCCACCCCCACTTTGTTTCTTCTATTCAAGTCCCTGAGAGGTTAATGGCATTCCTATTTACTCCACCAGCTAAAGAAGGTAAGTTGAGTCAACTTGAATTGTTCCCATCCTCACTGCCACTCCTTAGTTGGTTACCCATTTGATGATCCCACCTCTAAAGTGGTCTTGAATCCCTCCACTTCTTTCTATCCCCACCGTCACAAATGTAATACAAGATCCAATTACTCCTCTCTTGAATGATTATAGTAGCCTCAATTCTGCATCTTCCCCTTGCCTCTCCTATTTACACTGCATACCAGCTGCTAGAGTGGTCATTGCAAAAGGTTCACATAACTCTCTTACTTAACAATCTTTCAGCAGCTCACCAAAGTTCAAGTCCTTTAAGTTGGGTATTGCATCTTCGCCAGCTGGCTCCTGCTTCTCCAGCCTCATTGCTCTTTGCTCTCCCACACTCAACCTGTGACCCAGAAACACAGACCTGGTGACAACTCCAAAGCCGGTCAATTAAAAGGAAATTTGATTATTTAAAAAATTAGTTACAGTGGATCATCAGAATAAATCATTTTCACTATAAGCATTTTTATAACTATGTATTTTTATGATTGCACAGAAAAATTGCATAAGCAATACAAAGATTTATACTGTATGTATAAATATCCATATAGCATTTACCCAGATTTCAGCAACTGTTTATATTTAGCCCCATTTACTTTGTCTTTATAATTCTGTCTCTATTTTTTTCATATCATTTTTCTGAGCTATTTGAAAGTATGTTGGAGAATCATCCCCCTTAATCCCTAAATACCTCAGAGTGTTCTCCTAACAAGGATGCTCTCATACATACTCATGTACAATTAACAAAATCAGGAAATTTAACATTGAGGTGACACTATTATCTAATCCACAGTTCATTTTCAAATTTGATCAATTGTCTTGAAAATATCCTTTAGAGTTATGTGCCTTTTGCCAAGGTAGGATCCAATCCAGGATTACACATTGTATCTAGTTGCTCTGTCTTCTTGGTCTCTTTTGATCAGCTTCCCATTGTCTTTCTTGACCTTAATTGAAAAACTGATTGAACAATTCATTTTTAAATTGTTCAGGCCAGTTCTTTTGTAGAAGGTCCCCCAACTTGCACTCATCTCGTTTCCTTATTATTAGATTAATGTTTTACAGTTTTGGCAGAAATACATGGCATCCTTCTCAGTGCATCCATTCAGAGGGACTGTCTGACCCAGTATTAATAACGTCAATTTTATCACTTGGTTAAGTGGCATCTGCCAGTTATGCTTTAAAATTAGTATTTAACCATGTTTTACATGTTTGTCTTAAACCACATAAATGTGCATTTATTTACCACGCTTTTGACTCAGGCCTAGGCTTTTTCTTTGAGGATAGGTCTGCACCTAGATCTCTAAGCCATTTTCAGTGCATGTCCTGGAGTGCATTGTCTAAGATTTTCAATGTCAGTTTCTTTCAAGAAAAGAACTGCAAGTCACCTTCAAAGTGCTGATTATTCTAGAGTTATTATTTTCCCAGTCATTGACAAAAGCAACTTTTTCCCAAAATTTCAACTTCGTTTTCATGGGAACAGTTCTCTATTCACTCACTTGTTCTTTGGTAGATACAATTTTTAACTAATTTATAATTACAATAATAAGTGCAACTGGCATAATGTAGCTGCCTGATACTGGTATGCATACAACTTAATTGGTGTTTGCACACATATAAAACTTAATTGATGTTCAAATTGATGTTTGAATCAAAGCTATGAGCACTCCTACCCCATGAGAATTGAGGGACATGAGTTTTCAGACTGAAAAATCCCACGAAGCACCCGGCAAAATAAATTTAATTAAATCATCACAGAGAAATAATACTTTACTGGGATTAAGAGAAAATCTAAAAGAACCCATAGAGGAAAAAAATTAAAGGAGTCATAATTGTATCAGATTTTTCAACAGGCTTCAAAATTCTGATGGAAAATGATTTTCAAGACTTTTGTACAAACTGTGAACCAAGTATGAAGGAAGCCAACCCAGCAACTACTCAGTTATGCAAGTTCCCAAACAGTCTTTCTTAGGAAGGTTGCAAAGGATATACAAGGAATACGATAACACAAAGACTCGGGATGCAAGCAACAGAGGGCCCAACCCAGAAGTGTGACAAAGTATAAGCTGTCCAGGGTGGAGAAGGAAGGAAGATGTAAGAAAGCAGGAGGTCAGTCTCAGGGGGATAAACCATAAAGCATGGAATCGATTCTCTAATGTGTTTGAACATTTAGAAATACTACTGCAAGGCATTGGGCAGATTTGAAGGAACACAGGGAATAAGGAGCAATAAATATCTCAAAAACTAAGCAAATGACAAATACTGAAGCACCTCAGAACTAGAAAAAACAGTTGTACAAAAAACAAAACAAAAACAGTATCAGGATAATGTTTGGCTGAACAAAGAATAACATTTATAGAGAGTAAAGCAAACTCCATCTATTGACTTAACAAAAAATGACAGAACTAGAAAGTAAGCTTTATGAAAACTGAAACCTCATCCTCTTCACTGATACATCCCAGTATTCAGAACAGTGTTAGGCACATTAAATATTTTTTAAGTGATTTATCTTTTTTTTTTAATGATAGTATCTGAGCTTAAATTTTTCAGTAAAAAGTAACAGAACTCTTTTTTTTTAAGATCTCTAAGGTGAGGAGAATTCCTGGCGCCTTACAGAAAAGTAGCTAATGAGAAGTGGCCTGCCATTCTCACAGACATTTCATCTATATGGAAACATACTGTTTTCACAGATTGTCCCCCAAATCAAACTTCCATCTTGGTGTCCCAGCCTTGGATATTCTGAACTAGGTCACTCCATGCTCATGTTGCACTTGTTAAAATAATTCACTGAATTTGAAGCTCTGTCAGTTATCATCGGGGTAGGGTGGGGGCAAATCCCTCATTCTTAGAGGTATAGTTGTTCATGAGGTTAGCCTACATTCACAATCAAGAAAACTTTCTGATGGTTTTTACACCCACTTCCCCACCCCAAACTGGATAGTTTGGTTCTACAAGTGTCTATTTCCACACAACTGTAGAGCTCTAATCATTAACAACATAGAAGATCATTTTTCCCAATGATCTTTAACCTTTTTCTTCCTGATTACCAACGTAATAAACGAAAAACTGCAGACACTTTGGAAAATGTAAAGAAATACAGTCTTTCCAAATGACCAGAGACAATACTATTAACGTGTTTTTTTTTGCCTGAGTCACTTTTTTCTTCTCAAAACTGAGATCTTAACTGTTGCAAGTATAATTTTGTGTCATTTATTAACAAGAAGAAATGAGTATTTCTTCAATCATTAAAAAAATCTCACAAGCAATATGAAAGACTGTTTCAAAATTATTGCCTTTAGAGGATAGTTTTCACTGCTATATAGACACCTTTTATAAAAGTGGAATGGGAGCCAATTTTTCTCAGAAAAGCCCTCATAGGGCATTTCCTTAGAGTACTGACTCTTGGGACATTCCTGTGATATTAGGGGGTGCTGCCTAACATCCAGGGCTCTGGACTCAGACTTTGAATCTAATCCAGTGTGCCTCCCACCAGCCCATGACCTTGGAAGTTCCCTTCTCTGAAATTTCCTTTTATCTATAAAATGGGGATATTAATATCTCCCTCCCAGGGGTATTAAGAAGATTAAAAGAAATATGACATATCAAGTGCTTAGCACCACACCTAGAAAAGAATAAGAGCTCGACAAATCCTAGCTACCACCATCCCCCTCCCTTTCATCAGCCTTGTAATTAAGGGTTAAGAGAAGCAGACACTCATAAGATTGGTTACATCTCCTGATGTTAAAATGGCCTCTCAGAGCTTGTTGTCTGCTTATTTGATCTTGCATAATTCTATGCCAATTCACATTTGCTTCTTTTTTAAATACAGAAGTATTTTGCCTTCCAAAGTAAGCATTCTACCTAATACTCTCACTCATTGTGTGTCCTACCTTCTTATCCTTGAGAAACTTAAAATATCTAATTGCCAACTTTGGCCTCAAGCCATGTGTGAGAAACTGAAGGTGTAGAGTTACTACTATGTTGCCATAAAGTGAGAAGAAGAAAGAATTGACATTAAGATGAGTACAACTGGGCTAGATGCTTTTTTTCACCAAAATCCTGCAATATAGGTAGATTACTCCTTCTTGGCAGATGAAGAAACCTTGGCTCAGAGAGGGGAAGTGACTTACCCACAGTCATACAGCCAGGAAGTGACTGCGAATCCTCTCAGATTTCAAAGCCCTGGCTTCTTCCACTTGTCATAGTGCCTCCACAATATGTGCTGCCCAAACAAGTTCAGAGAACACTCCACTACCCATAGTAGTATTTACTAAGCAGTCAATCAATGCCCATGCTAAATCTTTCTCATGTATTATATCATGTAATCCTCCTATCAACCTTATGAAGTAGATATAGATGTCATCCCCAGTTAACAGAAGAGGAAACTGAGGCTCAGAGAAGTGAAACCACATGTTGAAGGTCATGCTGCTACAAAGAGTCACTGTTAGGATTCCAACCCCTGTTTACCTGAGTCTCAAGAGCAGGCTCTGAACCACCATACCTTCCTTCTTCCCTTTTCTTCCTTGCTTCCCATGCCAGCTCAAAATATCTAGTTGAAACAAAGAAAGTTCATTTTTATATCACAATTTCTTCAGGTTTCCTACTGATTCTCTAACTCATGCCACAATTAGTAAACATGTAGTGAACATCCCAGGAGTCAAGGGAGACAAAGACCTTTGCAAAACAGTTCCTGTGGTGCCCATAATTATCCAACTATGGGATCCCAGAAAGCAAACCTGACTGCAGAGGCACATTTTGCCAGACCTCTTCATTGTCCCATTGCCAACAGCCACCCCAGTAGAGATGGTATCAGTGACGTGACTAACAATGAATTAAAATGTCTTCAAGCCTGAAATCACTTTCCAGAGAAATCAGGCCAACGTCTAAAGCTCTTTTTCAAGCTTCTCTCCTCTAAGGCTGAGGATCTGCTTTCCTCTTTTTTTTTTAAGGTTTCTGAGAAGTAGGACAGAACAACACAGACTGTGCCCCTCTGCTGGGAGAGGAGGCCGATGACTGGCCCATATGGGGAATATAAAAGGCAGGTTGCCCTGCCTCAGGTTGGGGCCAGCTCTGTGATCCAATATGTACTCTGAGCACCCAAGGGAGATGAGGCAAGAAGTAGGCTCCCATTGAGCCCACATTCATACTTAGCTTTTCACCGGCCTTGTCTTGCTACCTCAGTCCCCTTCTCCTTTTTTTGCTCCTTCAAAAAACTCACTTGAACATTGGACACCATCCCAGGTTCTGCTCCTAAGAAACCCAATCCATAACAGTTGGTACCAGAAGATGTCCTAGGAAACAAACACTGCGTGCCTCCGCAAAGCAACTGCTAAGACTTTCACCTTCAGCGAGCAGGATGCGGTAGAGCTGGAGGGGCACGCCAGCTGCTGCCACGGCTCTGGCTGAGCACTGCAGATCTGTCACAGAGAGAACAGGAGGGACTCACCGATAGACCATTTCAGAGGGCTTGCTTGGCAGCATTTAGAGACCTCACCTCCGATAGCAGGAGGCTGCGAGAACTGAAGAACAGGCATTGCACTGCATCCTAAGAGCAGCACAACCTCCAAGAATGACAATTCTCTGCTAGATGGGTCCCCTTACACCAAAGAGTAGGCCCTGATAGGGAAGGTGGGGACCCCGATTCTTGGGAGAGGCTGTCTGAACCCTCTGGGCCTGCAGAAGTGTCCACTGCCCCCTTGCTGGACAATAGAGCTCTACGCCCACTCTGCTAGGCTGGAAAACAAGTAAGGTGCTTTAGAAAACAGTGCTCTGCCCTCCTAGTGACTTGCCCTACCCACTCTCCTGGCCAGCAGACCGATACCCGGGGTGAAACTGCAGCATGGATCAGCTCAGGAAGTGCTAGGCTGCTGAGGAAAGCAAAGAATTGGGCATCAGGCCCGGCCAACATGCCCAAGCCCAAACTGGAGGAGAGTGCCCAGGGAGGATTCCAAGGGTGATGGAGCAAGGCAGGTGACCCAGAAGCTGGATAAGGTAAAGCTTGTTGAGGTGGAGGGCTCCTCTCCGGTTATCATAGGATGTGACACCCAGGCAAGGGTTCCAGGTGACAGTTCCAAAATGCTGTTGGGTTGGCTCTTGAAATATTGGGAAGAGCAATGAATTGAATAGTGTAGAGATGCCACAACTGCCCTTGCACACTGGACAGAAACACTGTAAGGCTCAGAGAAGTTGGCTTTCTCAAACGGGCCTACTATATAAAACAGGAACACCTGTTAGAGGCTCTAACAACCTAACTAACACACTCCCTTTTGAAACGAGCTAAGAAGTTAAACCTCCCCCCCTTTGTGGCCTTCTAACCCAACCTTTTTAGTTTCAGGAATCTCACCATTCCAGTCCTGGGCAGTTTCAAAGTGCTCAGCCTCCTTGATGCCAGCAAGTCTGCCAGAGAGCCACTGACTCACGGTTAGCCCCTCCTGTTTCCATGAACTTCCCCTTTAAAGTGCTTTTGCTCTGCACAGCACTTCGGGGATGGTCTTGGGATGCTTGTCCACCATCTTTCAGGTTGCCAGCTTCCTGAACCTTTAAGCAACCTTTCCTTTTCACCAACACTTGTCTCTCAAATTTTGGCCTTTTGAATGACGAGCAGCCAAACTTGGGTTCAGATCTGGCTGACAGCTGAGTAACACACCCAGCAGCTGACCGTGTTCCCTGGAAAGGCCTGGAGGACTCTCCTTTTACCAACGTGGTAAGAAATGTTTTGGTGAGGTTGGCGACAGTGTCATGAGAAGCTCAATGGTGGCTGTCTTCCTTAGGAGGTGCTGCTGTAGAACTGGGCTCCCTAGAAGACAGTGGGTAATAAAATTCCAGAAGAGCAAAGACCAAGAGAAGCACTCAACCATAAGCAGCAAGAGGGCTGTAATTACCATAAAGGGCAACAAGGGGCCCTGACCCACAGGGATCTAGATAGATGGCTCATCAAACACAGTAATCTTGGGAGCAAATTAGGACAGCCAACTAGGGTGCTGCTTAACACACACAATCAAAAAGATCGAGTGGTAAGCAAAAGAATGAGGTCAGAGCCGTTCAGGGGCAGAGGACCAATGAAGTCACCCTAGTTGGCTTAGCAAGGCTTAGAAGGGCCTCTTGATGGGGTTTAATGCTCTGCGCATGCCATCTTGAAATTGTTAGTAATTGTAGGGGATGTCCTGCTCGGTTTAGACAATAGAGATGAACAGGGACTCAAAGGTAGTGCCATTCCCACCATCTCTCATATCCTCTACCTCCTAGTAGCTACCCTTATTCTGGCCTCATTGCCCACTTCTGAGTCCAGTGACCCCCCAGCCCTCTGCCTGGGCAGAGCTGAGTGCAGATACAAGGAAAGATGAGGCTAGGCATGCTGGCTCCCCAGGGCAGGGCATGGGGGTGGCTGCCTCTGCCTCTGGTCTCCCAGCACAGAGCTTGCCGTAACTGTAGGGGCTCCTTCTGCTGTGGGTTGGAGCAGGTGGCCTGTGGGAAGGGGAGACCATGTCAGGTGCTGAAGGTATCCTAATGCCTGCACACCCTCCCTTCCAACCTCCCTCAGTCTGGTTTGTGTTTGTCTCTTCTGACTAGTTTGAGGAACCTTCTAGGGAGAAGCCACACAATGCAAAGTGTATAACTTTAGTGATTCCACATCCAAGTTGAACCCTGTAATATTTGCATTTAAAATCGGCTTTGCATAAGAAATATAAAGGTGAACAGTAAAATTCATGCTAATAATTTTAAATGTCAACTTAACTTAGAATTACATTAAATGGCAAATAAAAAATACTGTGGCAAGCTGAAAGAGAAATGGCAGAAGAAAGAAAAAGGGTTTTCATGTTAGTATCTCTAACAGGACAGTTTCCCTGTTTTTTGAAAAAGGGCCCCAACATTTTCATTTTGCTCTGAGCCCCTTGAACAGCTTCCCTCTTCCTGTCCCAGATTCAGCTTCTAAGAAACCTGACACAAGACACATGCCAACTTGTCCAAGAAAGAAAAAACTAAATCTGCCTCTCCCCAGCCCCACCAGAAAAACCACGGAAGCCACAGGAGACAGGCACTGCATCCTGCCAGCCAGAGCAGAATCCAGCTCTCCTCAGTTCTCATACCTTCTCTTCCTCCTAACTCCCCCTGAGCTCCTCCCTGACACAAGTAGACAGGGGCACCTCCGGCTCCTCCCCATTCACTTCACATGCGAGTGTAGAGTACCTAATAATGCGGCTACCGTTTACTAAGCACAATAGGCTTGTCAGAAAAGTGTTTACCATGTCTTATGGCCAATGCCCAGGTCAACCCATGTGATAGGCAAGATATTTGTATAGTTCTATAACAATCTATAGATAAATCATATTCTTGCCGTGCAAATTCAGTTTCTTCACAAATCACATTCCTAAGCCTATGGCACCCCACTGTGTAATTCTCTATTAGCCACTGGAAATTGTACCCCTTCTCTCTCCCTCAGGCAATGACAAGTGTATTCCAACCATGAGCCACTAAAACCATGACCCTTGCCCCACAGCTGGGGCCCTTGTGAGCAGCGCTAGGGACAGGCTCGGATTTCTCTACATTATCAGATCTGGCCAAGCTTGTTTTTCATGCAAGGTAGATCAACAGACCCTGTTAATGCCTAAACAGGCAGGACTGGGCTTGGCCTCAAAGAAGGAAGGAGGGAGGCAGCCAGGCAGATTTTCCTTTCTTAAAAGCCAGTACCACAAAATTGCCATTGGTATTACTTCTTCCTGATGCCATTAAGTTTCGGAGGCAAAAACTCTGTAAAAGGGAGTCAGGTAGATTGCAGAGGAGGATGTTAGGATCTATAGCTTTTAGCCATAGATATCTGCGTTTAACTAAAACAGTGTTTTGCAACCAGGTATGGTTTTGCCCAACTTATCTGACAATATGTGGAAACATTTTTAGTTATCACAATTTAGGGTTGCGGGAATGCTGTGGGCAGAGGCCAGATGCTGCTAAAGATCCCGTTAATGCACAGGGCAGCACTCCCTGATAAAGAACTATCCAGCCCCAAATCTCAACTCTTATTTAAGGAAACAAGAAGAGGAAAAAGAAACTCAAATATTTAAGGGCCTTTCATGTGTCATATGACCTACACATACATATACATAGACACACATCATTGAATTTTCACAATTCCGCAGAGTGATGTCCATTTCCAAAATGGGAAAATGGAATCCCAGATTAAGTGGGGACTTCACCCAGCTAGTAACTGGCAGAGGAGGAATTTGAACTTGGCTCTGGGTGATTCTCAATACACTATGAGCTCCATAAAGACAGAGACCATGCCAGCTTTGCTTATCTCTGTTTACCCAGTGCCTAGCAGAAGTTGGTACCTAACAGAATTCAATAGACACTTACTTGAATTAATAATGAATAAATAAATGAATGCCTGAGTCAATGGCCCTGAAGTACATGCTCATTTATTCCCATCACTTCTTGAGAATAATAAAGATCCTTACAACATCTCTCCAGGGTTCTAGTCAGGAACAGGTCATGATCAGGTATGAACATGTATGTTCTGGTTAGAAACAGAAAACTTCCCAGGCCAACTCAAGTTAAAATGGAAGCATATGTTGAGAACACAGAAGTATTAAAAAAGCAAAGCACAGCCAGGATGTAAGGGCTTGAAAAGCCATCAGGAATCAGAATGCCCCGTCATCTGTACACCTTGGTTTTCTCTCCCAGCTGTTATCTTGCTTTGTTTAACCATCTTGCAAATGGTTTATATACCAGCTTCAGCTCTGTTTTGACTCTGAAAGTCCCCATTGCCTCTTACCTTGGTTTTACTTAACTATGTGAAATTGAATAAAGGAAATCTCATTTCAAATACAGTAGGGAGGCCAGAAGGGGGTACTTTCACACCCTACAACTTGTCTCAATTGCAGGGGTAAACAGGAAGAGACTTATAGAATTTCCTACCTTGCATTCCCATAAGAAGAAGCCTACATTATTACACCAGATAGAGGAAGGAAGAATTACTTCTTCCACAGCCGCAAATTCAGCCAATATGAAAATACCATGACTCAGCTAATGAGAAACTGTTACTAACCTGAACACTTGCCTTCCTGCAATGAACTTTCATTCAAAAAATACCCTCCCAACTTCCTCCTTTTCTCTATAAAGTAACATTCTTCTACTTTGATCTTTGATCTCCAGACTTGCTTATGGTTTATCATAGCTGCATGTCCCAAATGGCAATTGTTCTGCTGTTCCTGAATGAAACTTTCTTGCTGGTAAAATAACTAGTTGTTCTACTTTTTTTTCTTAAAAGTATCATTACTATACAATCTTATGTTTCAAATGTACATCACAGTGGTTCAAACAGTCCCTATGATCAACTTACACTGTAATTGTGAATTATTGTGCCCTTCTATCCCCCTCCCTCTCTTGGTAACCACTAGTCACTTCTCAATGTCTATGAGTATAATGCTGTTGTGTTTCTTCTGTTTGGCTTTGTTTTTATATTCCACAAATAAGTGAAACCATATGGTATTTGTCATTCTCCACCTGGCTTATTTCATTGAGCATAATATCATCTAGATCCATGTTGTTGTAATGTAGGATTTCTTTTCTTTTTATGGCTGAATAGTATTCCATTGGGTATATGTACCACATCTTCTTTATCCATTCATCTATTGATGGACACTTAGGTTGCTTCCATATCTTGTCTAATGCAAATAGTGCAATGATAAACATAGGTGTGTATATATTTTTTCAAATCAGGGATTTTGTTTTCTTCTGGGAAAGTCCTAGGAGTGTACTTACCCAGTCAAATGGTATTTCTATTTTTACTTTTTTGAGGAACCTCCATACTGCTTTCCACAACGGTTTAACTAATTTACATTCCCACCAGCAGTGTAGGAGGGTTCCCCTTTCTCCACATCCTCACCAGCATTTGTTGTTTGTTTTTTGGATGTTGGCCATCCTAACTTGTTGTTGAGAGTTTTATCATGAATGGATGTTGAAGTTTGTCAAATTATTTTTTCAGCATCTACTGAGGTAATCATGTGGTTTTTATCATTCTTTTTGTTAATGTGAAGTATGATATTGATGTATTTACAAATACTGTACCATCCTTGCATCCCTGGAATAATTCCCACTTGGTCATGCTGTATGATCTTTTTAATGTATTTTTGGACTTGGTTTGCTAATATTTTGTTAAGGATATTTGATCTATGTTCATCAGGGATATTGGTCTGTAATTTTCTATTTTTGTGGTGTCTTTGCCTGGTTTTGGTATTAGAGTGATGCTGGCCACATAGAATGAGTCTGGAAGTATTCCCTCCTCTTCTACATTTTGGAATGCTTAAGAAGGATGGGTACCAGCTCTTCTTTAAATGTCTGATAGAATTTGGCTGTGAAGCAATCTGGACATGGAGTTTTGTTTTGGGGGAGTTATTTGATTTAATTGCTGGTAACTGGTCTGTTCAGATTTTCTGTTTCTTCGTGGGTAAGTCTTAGAAGGTTGTATTTTTCTAGGAATTTGTCCATTTCTTCTAAGTTGTCCAATTTATTGGCATATAATTTTTCACAGTATTCTCTACTAATTTTTTGTATTTCTGTGGTATCAGTTGTGATTATTCCTTCTTCTTTTCTGATTCTGTTTATGTATGTACACACTTTTTTTTTTCTTGGTAAGTCTGGCTAGGGGGTTATCTATTTTGTTAATTTTCTCAAAGAACCAGCTCCTGGTTTCATTGATATTTTTTCTATTATTTTATTCTTCCCTATTTTATTTATTTCTGCTCTGATCTTTATTATGTCCCTTCTTCACTGACTTTAGGCTTCATTTGTTCTTTTTCT